CTTGGTTCAGGTATGTTCCTTTTGGGCAGCCACAGCCCTCCACAGGAGAGTCATCCACCTCGCAGGCAGGGCTAGGTTCAGACAGGGAGCGGCATGTACGGTTGAAAGGTTGTATGTCATAGAAGAACTCTTGGTTCTTTGGACATTCTGGAGCTGTAATACAACACTATGATTAGCAATCAATTATTCTTCAATAAAGTGTCATCTAAAGAGTGGACAGATTGTGACAAAATGAAGTGAACAGTGTAGTGTAGAACATGAACTTACTGCAGCTGGTAGCTTTCCTCCAGTCACCAACTAAAACCCCGAGACCGGCACAAGCTTTGGCATAGCTGCCCAGAGCAACGCATAAGCAGCTCTCCACATTCCTGCAGTTACAGGTTCTTTGGATACAAGCCTACAAATAAACATTAGTTTCATCTTGATATTAATCTTTCAACCTCAGTTAACTCTTGACCATTTATCAACAAGGCCAAATTTCTTCTTACTGTGTAGTACTGGTCAGGTGGCACATGTCCATGGCACTTGGCAAATATTCCAGTTGGGTTGTTTAACAGAGAGCACTTTTCATTAGCAAACATTTCTAGAAAAATGAAAATGAATTAGATATAAAAAAATAATAATAATTCCCTTATTTATCAACTTGTTACAAAACCTAAAGGGTTTACCTATAAATAATTATGCCTACTGAAAGCAGTGACACTGGTCTGTTAAATGTAGACAATACATTAGAAATCCAAATCTGACTATAACCTGGAACTTCTTCCAGTATCACAGTATATTATGGGATGTTACCCCAGCCTCTTTGGTTTGTTAGAACCATGTATGTAGTTTCAACTCTGTGTGATATAATATAATATTGGACTAAACATTTTCTAGCAATAAGATTAGACGAATGTAGGAAAAATAAAAAATAAATGGTCTTTTGTTGTTAGTATAGACATTAACTGTCAGCTTGGTATTTAAGCTAGATGCCAGTGTGAACAATACAGGATTTATTTGAATCATTAAGTGGTACCATTGTGAGTGTTGATGCAGGTGGTGGGAATATTCACTGCACAAGTGCCCAGACTCCAGGACAGAGCAAAATGTTTAGCAGAGTTCTCGATGATGCCGCTGCTGCTGGTGAAGTCGTCTGTGCTGTCCCCGTTGTTGTTGCCACAGAGACCTGAAGGAAACCCTGAGTGATCAAGCTGGATCATGCCACCAATGGTGCTTTTAATGTAATTTTTTTTCCCCAACCTGACATTGTGCCCTCGTGTTTTGTAGGAGCAGAGATGTAGAGCTGGATTTCTGGAGACAACTGGACTTGGATCTTAATATCAGAGGATGTCTCAACTTGGACGTGCATTGAGGACTGCCAGTAAATTTGAGCATGATCTGAAAAGTAACAGGTATGCAGGCAACCATCAAATGTAGTCACAGGAAAATGAAAAACCTTGCAGTTGAGCAGACTGTTTACTTTGCCTTACCAGACTGATAAAATTCACTAATCTCTTGGTTTTCAAAGTGCACCATGTCATTTTTGAACGTATACGTTTCCTGAAAGTCCGAAAAGAAAAGTATTCAAATTTGAGTGGACTCTGCCTGTTTGTCATTTAGATGCCAAGTCAGTGCCCAAACACTTGGCATACCTGATTATGCTGAAGAACAGCTTTTTTCAGTGACACATCCTCATCAGAAAACTGAATCAACACGGTCCAGTTGAGATACTGCAAATGTCATTAATTAAAATACAAAGAATTTATAACCACTCACAAGAACATAGATCCATGTTAGATAAGAGTTGAAAGGGCAGATTACCTGTAATGCCACGAATGCACATTTACCAGGGACCCCATATTGTTTGCCATCAAATGTTGTAACAAATTGTCCTTCAATCAGACATTTTCTTGGGCAGACGTCTTCAGAGCAACGCCACTTTCCACCTTCACACAAACTGGGGGCAGGTTTAAA